TAAGGACCAGCCAGGCAAATACATTGCCTGATATCTTTTTCCTGCTTCTGGCACGGACACCTTAATCTCTCTGTGTAAGTAACCCACTCTCTGGCTGGCAGCCAGGGCTCAGTGCCAGGACAGGCAAATATCTACATGGAACGATTTACAAAATCAGCCCCAGAGTCCCGCACAGACCTTTCATTTGCAGGAAATACCATCTTGGCTTCACAGACATCTGGATAAAGGTTCCTTAGAGACATCACACATTGGAACAGTTTCCCTGCTCTCCACCATCAAAAAGGAGAGAAAAAGAAAAGGTTGGTCACTACTGAATACAACACTGCATGACTAAATCCTAATTCAAACACTTTTATCAAACCATTGTCCCAGTAATTAACAGTCATTAGCTCTTCAAAAATAAAAATTCTGAAGTCTTCATTCATTCTAAGTCTGTTACATATAATCTTTTCCTTTTTCTGCTGTTTAAACTATTTTTAATTTAAACACGCCTGGGGAAAATTTACCTTTAACACGAAGATGAGAATATATTTTAATATACTTATCATTATTTTAGTAAACCTATATACTTACTACTTATTATTTATACTTATTACTTATATAATTTATTATTATTTTGCTTCTGTTGGGCTGGAGCAATAGCACAGCAGGTAAGACATTTGCATCACATAGAAATGCCGGGTTTGGTTCCTCCATCCCTCTCAGAGAGCCCGGCAAGCTACCGAGAGTATCCCGCCCCCACAGCAGAGCCTGGCAAGCTCCTCGTGGCATATTCGATATGCCAAACACAGTAACAACAAGTCTCACAATGGAGAGGTTACTGGTGCCCACTCGAGCCAATCAATAAACAACAGGAGGACACTGATACAGTGCAGTGCTATTTTGCTTTTGTTAAACAATTTTTGAGACACAAAGAAAAATTTATGGTGGAAATGTTCAAGGTTTTTAACAGTCTTTTTAGACATTCTTTAGAAAAACTCTCCCTCAATAAGTAGTATAACTCTTCCTCTCATGCTCACTAAGTGACTTCAAATTTTAAAGATTCATAAAAACGCTATGGACAATCTTTTTAGATAACTTGTTCCTCAATAAATGACTTAACTATTCTTCTTATGCTTACAAATCACCCCAAATGGAAATACTAAGTAAAAACAGTCACGTCCTTTATTTTCTTCTTACCTAACCTACCTTCTCGCCCAATGTCATTGTTCTTTTTTTTTTATCTGACATGTGAAAAGGCTACCTCTTTTCAGCTCTGCTTTTAGTCTTTATATCTTTCCTACCACCTCCTTATACCCCATTGTCTACCCCTGAATTTCCAAGATATTTGAAAGCTGAGGTACTTCCCACTTCTCTACCAAATGCCAGTTAAGCCTTAGAAGAGCAATTCGAAAATATCGGTCAAAATTACATTTTTACCATCCAACCTCATTTCTTGGAGTTTGTCTTATAGAAACAGAGCACACAACAATATATAAAAGAAAAATTCTGAGTATGATGGGTAACAGTGAGAAAGATTAGGGGAAAACTTCAATGCTTTTAATAAGAAATTGGGCAAATAAATGGTAGCCAAACCCTGCAATGACAGATTCGGTTAAAATAATATGGTTTATCTCTCCATGTCGACTTGAAAAATGCCTGGAATAAGTAGTTGAGTGAAAAAAAGTTTCATATTTGGAAATAATATGATCTCTAAGCAGTTTCTCAGAAAGGAAACTGATTTTGGTGGTGATGAGAGCACTAGACAAAAATAAAAATTATTTTCTAAGTGTTCAGAAAATAAAGGTTGGGTGTTTTCTTTTTGATTGTGAGAGAGATAATTGAAATGTGATAAAACATTTACAAACTGAAAAGGCTCCCAATGAATATGTTTGAGGCTTTTCAGTTTGTAAATATTTTATAAACACATCACCTAAATGTGAGTAGAATTGGCCTTTGAGAATTAGAATTAGGTGAAAAAAATGTCTACATTCTACCTTATTTCTTTTAATGTCAAGATTTTTATACATCACAAAGCTTTTATTTATATAAAAACTACTGTCAAACTATAGTAATTACTTAATATGGTACCAAATTAAGAATAGAAATAGTAAATCCAAAATTATACCTGATCATATGTAGCATTAAATATATGAAAATTGTGGTACTGTAAAAAATTTGGTAGATTCATTGTTTTCCAGTGGAAAGAAGTTAATCTAAAAAATTAACCTTTTCTCTAATTATTTCAAGAAAGGTAAGTAGTTTTTGATTCATTGAAATTTTAAATGTAAAATTATGACTTTACTAGTAAATTCATAAGTTTTATATACAAATCAATAATCTGTGATTAAAAATATAATACAATTGAGAAACATCAAAATGTGAGTACTTACATAGATTAAATAACAGAACTTTACATTTATTTATTAAGTTTTTCAATTTTGTTTGACTTTAACAACACATCATAAATGTGATAAGTTTTGAACAATTAGTGGGCTCAAAATAGATATTAGAGTTTTTTATATACTTGAAAATTTCTAAACTTCATGGTATGGTTGAATCAGATAATGATATGTATCATGTAAATATATACATAGAATATAGATATATGTATTATATACATTTAATCAATTTTATAGAAATTAGTTATCAATAACTATGACATAACCTGCTCTGTTCAAGCTTTTTTATAACTAAATTTAACTATATCTATCTAAAAACAGGAAACCAATAAGCACATTCTTCAGGAGATATTCAAAGCTTATAAACACATTGTCATAATTCATCTCTTTTCCTATCATTGAAAATTAATTCTGATAAAATTTTTCTGACAAAACCAACAATTTTTTTTAAATATCCTTTACTATTTCATGACTCTCATTAACATCAGTATTGATATTCTCTCTGGGAAACTAAAGTAAATGTACACATGTGCTGTGTAATTTTATTGTCAAGAAGCAGAGAATAACATGCTTCATTGAGAAGTTGAATCCAGAAGTTGTCTTCACTGGTTTCATCCCAGTCCACCAAATTTATAACCTTCTAAAATCATATTCTTTGCTCCTCAGAGTTTTAAAAGACCAGTGTAGCACTACCCATAAAAACTGGGACAGAGTGATATAGTACAGCAGATAGAGAGCTTGCCTTGCATATGGCTGACCCAGGTTTGATCCCTGGCATTCTTTATGATTCCCTTAGAATTACCAGAAGTGTTCCCTGAGCACAACCGAGTGTGGCCCCAAGACAAAACAAAACAAAACAAAAGGTTTACATGAATACACAATTTCTTTTGTTAAAGAGACAATCTGCTTGAGTTTGAAACGTAAATTTGTCAAACTAGGGAATTTCCATTTTTAGAAATTTTATACTACTTTTATAATTTGTAGATCATGTACTATCAAATGGCTCATAAAGAGGAAAACTGCATTTTTACTGTGTTTACTAAATACTCAGTACCATTATACTAAGTAAATATTGAGCCCAGAAAGTTGGCTAAATTTACTGACTGAATGGTTTTCACGAAGGAGAGGAGGGCATGGGAGAGAAGAGAGGATATCTGACCATATTCCGACCCTCTGGGAGTCAACAATTTTATTGAGAAGACAAAGTTCATAAATTAAATAAATATTTACTTAAGTAGATAAGTTAATTTAGAAAATGAAGCAAAGATCACTTAATCACTTAATCACTTAATTTCCCGTTAGTCGTCGATTTGCTCGAGCGGGCGCCAGTAACGTCTCCATTTGTCCCTGTCACGTGCTAGTGTAGCCCAATGGCATCTGTTCGCTCCGGGAACATGAAGGGCCTCAAACCGATCGTTCATGATCTTGAAGAACTCTGACTATCTGGAAGGTGGGCGGCCACGTGGTCTTTTGACATCCCGTGGAATCCAGTCGATATGTTTATGAGAAACAGCCTTGTTCCTGACGCCCCATTCGCTCTCAATGGAACGACCATCTCCGAATGCAACAGCTATGTGTACCTAGGTCGAGAGGTCAACATGACAAATGACCTGGCACCCGAGCTGCGCAGGAGGAAGAGAGCGGCTTGGAACGCCTTCAAGAACGTCGAAGGAATAGCTAAGGGGACGAAGAACTTCTGGCTCCGGGGACATCTCTTTGATTCCACTGTTCTTCCTGCATTAACATATGCCTCAGAGACCTGGGCCCTATGCAAACAGGATGAGAACGCCATTCAGGTCTCCCAAAGAAGAGTAGAAAGAGCTATGCTTGGAATATCACGTTTCACTCAAATGAGAGAACGAATCCGGAGTTCTGACATCCGTCGACGATCAAGGATCAGGGACGCTGTCTCATTTGCCAAGGTGTCGAAAATCAGATGGGCTGGTCACGTAATGAGATTTAAAGACGACCGCTGGACTAGAGCTGTTACCGACCGAAGCAAAGATATTTTAAATATTTTAGCACAGCGGGTGGGGCGTCTGCCTTGCACGCAGCCAACATGGCCGACCCGAGTTCGATTCCTCCGCCCCTCTCGGAGAGCCCGGCAAGCTACCGAGAGTATTCGATATGCCAGACACAGTAACAACAAAGTCTCCAATGGAGACGTTACTGGGCCCGCTCGAGCAAATCAACGATCAATGGGAGGGCCTTTACCTTTACCTTATTAGAGTCCAATTCATTTGGCAAGAAAACGAAATATGATGGATTTATTATTGCTGTCTAATGGTAATCAATGTCTAAAAGTAAAGATCAGTATTTGGAAATTAGTGGGTGACACAGTAACTCAGAACTTGAAGGTCCAAAGGAAAGGGAAGAGTGTTGTAGAAGAAACATCTTCAAAGCATAAGAAGCAGGAGTAGCTAGTGTGCGGCCCTCAGGTCATAGAGAGACAGAGAAGGGCTTAATGGAAACAAAGCATGGGCCTTCGGGAATAATGGTGCAATGCTTCCAGGAGAAAGCCTGTAGAGTTTTCAAGCTTGACAGCTTAAAACTTGTAGAGTTTTCAGAAGGTAGCTTTAATATTCTATATATTTCCTATCTTGATTAATTATAGATTTGTTGTAGCCCCCGTCGGGGAATCAAACCCCGGTCTCCCGCGTGACAGGCGGGTATACTCACCACTATACTAACGAGGACGGCTACAGGGCTGGAGCGATAGCACAGCGGTAGGGTGTTTGCCTTGCACGCAGCTGTCATGGCCGACCCGAGTTCGATTCCTCCGCCCCTCTAGGAGATTCCGGCAAGCTACCGAGAGTATTCGATATGCAAAACACAGTAACAACAAAGTCTCCAGTAATGAAGACGTTACTGGACCCACGTTACTGGACCCATTCTGGCAAGCTACCGAGAGTATTCGATATGCAAAACACAGTAACAACAAAGTCTCCAGTAATGGAGACGTTACTGGACCCACTCAAGCAAATCAATGAACAATGGGAGGGCCTTTACTTACTTTACTTATATTTCCTATAGAAAACAGTTCACAAAATAAGTTTATTTGACAAACTACTAAAGATGATTAAAATTATAGATTCTCTGAGAACTGGTCTATGTTGGATGATGGTGGATGGAAACAGATACTCCATGGTGATTGCAGTATTGGAATGTCACATGCATGAAACCCTATCATTAACTAGACTTTAAATTGGTGACTAAAATCAATTAAAAAAAGTAATAAAACAACAGCTCTAATAGCACTACTAATTGGTCTGGCAATTTGAGCAAAATCTAGATATACTCACCTGGGCTTAAAAAAAAGATAAGGACATGAAATTTGAAAAGAGGAGAAGTAACAATAGATATTTTTGCATGGCAGAATGGTAACATGGAAGGTTCTGGACAAAGAGTTGGGTCTCCAAGATACTGACTTTTTTCTATATCTCTGAGAACTTATTTCACCCTCTGATCTTCAGCATAGACATCTATAAAATGACACACAAGTTTGAGACTCCACTCGATCCCTAGATTATACAAACTCATTCATTGGTGCTGTTGTAGCAAGGCCAGGAGCCATATTTGTTGTGGAGTTTGATATAACATTAAGCAATTCCCAACATCAAACCCAGGGATCCAAGCTGTGAGTTTTGCTCCCTACACTGAGCCACACACCTAAACACTTAGATGAATTCTTTAAAGAATTTAACATGCAAAAGAATTTTGGCATATTCTGTAGAGCTCCAAGGGAATATTCAAGAGAATAACTTATCTTTCTACCTTGGTCACCCACATATCTTCAGAGAGCTTCACTCAACTCTATTCATCAGGATTCTTTGTCATAAACCAAAAGTAATGTCTCTAGTTATATAAATGTGTCCTGGGGAAGTATATTGGAAAGTGTAGCTGGCTGTACCTATGGAAAAAACAAAAAAAAACCAAACTCGAGTAGGAAAACAAGGAGGAAAGGTCTAGATAATATTATATACTATATAGTATAATATATATTTATATATATTATCATAGTATATGTGATACCAGGACAGAGGACTATAAAGTAAAATGTGAACAAATTCTTGGTTACTATATTTCAGAAACAGAAATGATAGGGAAAGAGAAATTAAAAGGGCAGAGTAAGAAAAGGCCATTTGGAAGGGGTATAAAGGCAGAACTTGCCTGTTGGTATAAAGGTGAGGTATTTGTGTATCTCCAAACCACTAGAGCCAATACTACTCTAAGCATGGGATCCAAGCTACAATAAATTAACTTTAAAGTGTGTCTGTATGGTGACAAGGAATCTACAAACACTGGTGGTGGAGGTTAAGTTGGGAGACTGTCTGCCTGAAACTCTACTGTCAACAGCTTTGTAAATTACAGTCCCCAAAGAAAAAATTAAATAAAAATATAATAAAGAACACTGCCACAATATTTTAAATATGGTTGAATTAGAACATTGCCAATAATACCACTGGGATTGGATTATCTGACATGACCCATAATGGAAGTATGCAGCAACTGTCATAAATTATCTCCAATTGTGAATTTCATTAGACTCCTTGCAGATTCCAAGACCGATTGCAAATATCTAATTGATTGACTGTTTAGACTATGTACTCATGTCTTAGAGTCCTGGGCACTCAAGAGAAGAGGAAACTCTCTACTTCATCATTTTTTGGTAGGTGAATGCATTAAACCATATCCAGACATGTTCAAGGGCTATTTCTCACACTTTGTTTAAGGACTATATGTGGTGGCAAGAATTCGAACCAGGATCAGCCACATGCAAGGCAAGAGCATTTCCTCCTAAATGGAGCCCTCCTCTGTGTCTTAATGTGAAAGTCTTTCCTCTTACCTACCTTGGAATTACCTCCAAATAGTAAATAAGTAAGTATACTATTCAAAACAACAGAAGTTCACTCTAATAAGATGATTAAAAAATGAGTGGATTGATTCTATTGTTGTATAGTCTGAATGATAGTCTTCCCAAAGATATGCCCACAGTCTTATCCCAAGTTTCAGTAAATTCTACTTTATCTGGAAAAAAAAATGTCTTTGTGCACAAAATCACTAAGTTAAAGATTTTGAGATTAAAAAGTTCATTTTGAAAGATCTGTTTAATTTCTAAGTCTAATTATGTTACCATTGAAAAGACATAGGGAAAGTATGAGGTGAAAGTAGGTAAGATCAATGTAGTATTGCCAGGAGGAAGTCAGCAACCATGAGAAACTGGGGGAGGGAGGTAGGAACCACCACTAGCACTTCTGTAGAATATAGGACTACTAAAATTCAAGTTTCTGGCATTCACAATTGTGAGACAAGATGTCACTGTATTTTATGAGAGAGTAAATTTATGGCAATCTGTTACAATAAACTGAAGGAATTTAAAGGCAGTAAGTCTTCCATTTCTATACTAAGCTGGTTACATTCTTCTTTAGTGACTAGTATTTTAGAGGAAAACTCTTGCTTAAGTAATCAGTTAATACTAATGAGTTAATACTAAATGTTCTCTTCATCTCTAGGATTTTGCAATATTCATTAGACTCTCTCAACCAGACGGTAGCCCCATACTACTCTTTGTTGTACCATTTCTGAGTCACTGAATGGTCTTAATAAATAAAATATTACTGTTCAGCTATTGATATATTGTTGAAAATTTCATTCCCAAAGATGTTATTATACAAATGATCTATTACCAGCTCTCTTGCTTTTTTGTTTACTTGTTTTCTTTTTTGACACAAAAGGTTGAATCAACTAACATGAAAAAAAATTAACTTCAGATTATGCAGCTGTCATTTTTCATGCTCCTTGGGAATATTTTCTGGAAAAATAAATGGTGTTGGGCTGCTACATTTGTTACCAAATCATTGGAAATTCCCTTACTGCACTTTGAATCATCCTGAGACATACTTATTTTTAGCTATTTTCTTGATGTTGTCATAAATCAGGGTTCATCTCTCATCCTTGTGACTCATATCTCAGCTGCATAAATAAATATTGAGAAGTGATGAACGTGTTTCTCTTTGTTTTTAAACAAGAAACTTAAGCAGGTGGCAAAACATCCTTCATATCTGAAAATTAAAATCCACTGTACTAAATTTGATCTAATTTCATGTTCTCTCTCTTTCTAAACAATAAATATTAGTCACCAAATGGAAACTTATGGAGTACTTTCTGAGTATTTTTTAACTGACTTTATTTTTTATCTCTTTGCTTAGAATCATAACTGAAGACATTTTCCAGATAACTAAAAAGCCTATGTAGCACAGCAGTAGGGCCGGGTTCCATTCCTCTGCACCGTTCAATAACCTGGCAAGCTATTGAGAGTATCTCTCCCGCACGGTATAGCCTGGCAAGCTCCCCGTGACTTATTCAATATGCCAAACACAGTAACAATAAGTCTTACAATGGAGACGTTACTGGGCCCACTCGAGCAAATCGACGAACAATGGGAGGACAGTGACAGTGACAGTGACAGTGACCAGCCTATGTATAACTGAGCATTACATAAGGCTACAAGATTAAATATACAGATAAATATGAGTAACTACCATAGATAGTAAAGCTGAAATGATAGCTCTCCTTGATTTGTTGTATTCTTGCCCATTTCTACACTTAATCTGTCATTTTACAATTATTCTCTCAGAATGGCCTTCCTGGCTGGATCTGGTCGTTTCTCTCTGTATGGAGGGAGGATCAGAGATATATACATTAACTATAACTAAAAAGTACAAGAGTCAGGGTATAAAAAGAGGGTTCTGAGAGAACAGAGGAGACTACATGCAGAAGAGTAAGGAAAGTCCTACGAATGACTAGAATGAGCAAAGTGTTAAGTCAAATATAAATTCTGGAAGTATAAAGAGAAAGTGTTTTCACAGATCAAAAAGAAGCAAAAGACCCAGCCAACAAGTGTACTTATATAGGAATCAAAAGTTGCCAACAAGAAAGAAACAAGCAAAGTGGCAGGGAATGAAGATTGGGTCAGATTTGGAATTTGTTATACAAGGGGGAGTTTCCAAAGGATTTTGAATGCAAAGAAGTTTTGAGTTCTAGAAAACTCACATGACACAGTAAGTTAAATTGGAGGGGAAAGACATGGATCTGGGTCATTCTTTTCAACAGCAATTTTTGGTAGTGGTAATATAGAATAATGATAGTAAAAAACAAAAGTGGATAGGAGTCAGCAGTAAGTGGAAAAGGACAGCAGGTATGGACAACATAAGTCACCCTTCAGTCTATTTTGATTTATTATTTCGAAATAATAAATAATGGGGAAAATCCAGTAATATGCTTTCAAATGCATCACATAACTGGAAACCGTACTTGAATTGAATCCAAGCTGATCAAAACAAAGTTCCTAAAACTGAAATGACAGCTTTGCAGTCTTACTTCATATAGTTTACAAGCAGGATAAGTAAACTTTCAACCATCTGTTGTTTTCCTGGATTGCTAGAAAACTCTAGAACTTACCCTTGTGCTCAATCACTTACTGCTTTATTAATTTTTAACCCAAAGTGATAACGCTTTATACATTTTATATCATGTATGTATTTGAAGGTATGTCTGTGAGTGTGTAAGTATGTGTGTGTCAAGTATGAAGATTGGGTCAGATTTGGAATTTGTTATACAAGGGGGAGTTTCCAAAGGATTTTGAATGCAAAGAAGTTTTGAGTTCTAGAAAACTCACATGACACAGGAAGTTAAA